TATATTACTTATCAACGATTCCGTACGCTTGCGAGCTTCGCACGAACATGCGTCAATGATTAATCATTATTGAGCACATTGATTTGGACACATCAAATAAAGTGGCTTTTGAAGGACTCATTGCTAATAAATGGGGAGTAATATTATTTCGCCTCATTTGGGGGTTAAAACATTATTTTATATGACGTTAATATAGTATTAAATGATAAATATAAATGAATGAGTCATTTAATTCTACTTTTATTTAACCTATCACCTAACATCACTTAGACTCATGTCCACCCCAATGAGGCTACATATGATTACTCGGTAAATGGGTGTAGGCTAATTGTTTTCTTTGAATGGAGTAGTGTTATACTAATTTATCTTATTTTAGGTTAAATACACAATTAGTGCATGAAATTTACTCTATGTTCCAAATCCATCTCTTGACTAAATGTAATTTCAAATTAACCCTAGGACTACAATTAATGTTCACTGTCCATCCTCACATTAACACTCCCTTAGTTAATATTAACAGCAAGTGTAAAGTATGATCTTTAAAAAACCGTTAAAATGCTACTAAAAAAACATGAGAGTACTTCAAACTGCATTTTTAACCTAAGCCATTAAACTAAGTCTATTTGATTCCTATTATCTAAAAACTCAATTTCAGCCCTTACATTCTCATAATAAAATATTTTTCATGTAAATTCAAAAAAATTTCATATTTTTTAATCACACATTCTCCAAAAATTCAGTATTACAAAACCTATTTTCAACAAAAAAAAATAAAAAAATTGGGGTTCAAACATAGGCTAAACAACTAATTCTCTCTCACAAGTTGAAGCTTCGATTTTTACCCCCAAATCCCCAAAATTTGGGTTCATTCATTGGCGTTCGACAATAACGGAATAGATTAGTTGTTAGGGGGTACATTTCACATGAGATTTTGGACTACTTATCCTAACAAAATTAACATTTTTAAAGATGAAACACTTCAAGTCACAATATTGATAAACATCCAAGTTTTGATATTCCCTTATGCTAGTATGTCTAGTATTCAGTCATGAAAACATTGTGGGCAAACACTAATCCTGCGGAACAAGGGTGTACATGTTTTATTTTTCCTCGAGCAACGTAAATGTTGGAGTTGGGATTTAGGTTTTGATTACGTACAAGGTATGCGCGTCTATAAGAATTCTCAATTCTATTAACATTCATTCCATTTTTAAAATGTGATTAATTTACAGACGGTTTATATGTATAAGATAGCCACTCTACAAAATCGTATATGAGATTTTCACCACATACGGCTCCTCATTCTATTCTTTCGAATTCATTGAATCCTTTTTTGCGTTCGAGAATCCCTCCCCTTCTTCCACTTTGTCCGGAAGCGTAATTAGGACCATTTAATCACGTTTTCATTTACCAATTGAACACTTTCCATTTTTTGATTACTTTCAAACGAGAAGATTATTCTCTTTACCAAGTATAACTTAAATTTTGTTCATAATAGTATAATAAAATTTTGTGTTCTATTATGTATAGACTAATATTAATTGATTGAAATTGAGCCCCTATTTGGGCTCCATTAAAATGAGTGTTTTGGAGAAAATATATTTTGAAGAATATGTGAGTAAAAGATAAATAAAAAAATCGATTTACGAGTAATATTATTTTATGAGAGAATATTTAGTTGAATGTGACTTTTAAAAAATATATTGTTGAAAAAATTGAGCCCAAGATAAAGTTGAATGGGAAGCCCGAGGAATTTTAATTTAATTATAATTTAATAGTCCATCTTAATTCAAGTTGCTATTAGACCGTAGTTCATGATTCGAGGCATCAACTAGTAATAAATATTAAGCCCGTCTTGGTTTGGATAAAAAATAATTTTTTATTAAATTTTGATAAACGTTGATGAAATATATTGAAAAGTTGTGTTTATCCTAAAATGTGTGGTTAAATTAATTTTTGTTTTTATCTTGAATTTTAACTAATTTTTTTAATTGAACCAAACGGAAACTAAAATTAAAATATAAATAATAATTTAGTGCTTTTGAAATTCAACTTGTGTCCCCACACCCTAACACCATAAAATTTCGTGCAGCCAAGCCAATGGACCTAGCCGTTGATTCTGTTCTAGACCTACCTCCTCTTTGTGGGGCTGGATGAAGAGGAGCGTTCAGATTCTTAGTTAAGACTAACCACAAAATAATAATGAAATAACACGATTAATATGTTATACAAAAATCATGAATTTTACAAAATAATGAGAAAATCCTCGAACTTGTTTTTGTTGAAATTTTTACTTGTTCAAAAGTTGATGAAACTTCGGACTTATCTGGTAGAAATTTTCAGCAGCTTTTAAGCTAAAAAATGACCATTTTTTCAGTTGATGGGTCCCACCTGTGAGACCAAAAGTTAACAATTGTTGTCTTATCTCCTTCTAACGGTTCAAAAAGCCATGTTTTGGTTTAAAAAACGTTCCCAAACAGGCTCTTCATTTTAACTATACAAATTCATTGGACCTACAATTTTTCACCAAAGATTTTATCGAACTATTATACTTTTATCAACCACGTAAAGTCCCATCCTAATTGCACCAAAATTCAATCCAAATGGTGCTAATGAATAGTATTACATCAAATAAAATGGTTAAATACCTTTTTGCCCTTCTCTTTTACTTTGCACAAATTTTTTTAAGGGTATTTGTATCCAATTTTGTTATACAATAAATTATTATTGTTGTTATTATGTGCATTTGTAATAAATTTTAATCATGTAATCTATAATAATTAAGAAATGAATTAAAATAAAAATACTCAAAAAGTTTTAAAATATAATAAACATGTTCGCTTTCAAAATTTCCTTGCTCATTATAGATAAATCAAGGATAAATAGGCTCACTTTACACTTGTAAATGAATTAATTGATCATTTATGGGATGAAATACGAATTTTGAAAATTAAATTACGACACTAGTTCGATTTCATAATATCATGATATCAAAATTCGAAACGTATTGTACTATTTTTTAATAACATAATTTAATATTTTCTTAGTTGTGATATTTCTATTAATTGCACAACATTTTTTTATTTTATTAATGAATTCAATATTTTCGTTAATTTAATGTAATTATTTATTTAGTAATTTATGTAGTTGTGAAATAAATAAACGAATAATTTTTGAAATAAATAAATTGTTAAGAATGTAAAAAAAAAATGAAGAAATTGATTAAATATTGTTCATTAGGTGTAACTTTTGGTGTAATAATTGTATCTGATTTTCAATTTGGTGCAAAATGATACAAAACTTACCTCAAATTTTGGTGTACAGTTGAAGATGACCTTAACGTCCATGATAAAAAGAAAAGCATGCGTGACGCGTCCTTGCATGAGTACAATTCCAAGGAAAGAAAAAGTGTCGGTTGACACTGTAGGCTTTAGAGGATGGATTGAACAAAAATTATACTTGCTCGAACACTTTGTTTTGAATTTTAGTTTAAAGTATATTTATACTCTCGAAAGTGATAGGTGTCATTCGTTCAAATTTGCAACTGGACATCGGAATTGGGTTAAAGTCAACGGTTGGCCTATTGAAATCATCCTTCAAACTTTTGAATTTGAGAATAATCTCTACCATCCATAATTCCCACTCTTTACCCATTGCATCCTATTATCTCTTGCAGTTTGGTAGGGAATAAAATTTCTTAGTTATTGGAATTAATCATGTCTATATTGTTCATTCATCTGACTGTACTTTTATTTTTGTTCCATGAGCATGCTCCCGTTGGAGTCTATACTTCAATTATTAATTCATATACATACATACATATATATATTGAAGCAATAAAGTTTTTTTTCAAATTAAGCTCAACTCCTTGCTAATTATGTGGATTAAAATATAAAAATCACGTCTATATTGAACTAGCACGGGAGCCGGTTTGGGGCATGGTGGAGGGACTTGGGAGCGGGCGGCGCACGATGAGGGGTGAGGCATGTGACGTGGCAAGGAGGTGTTGTCAATCGGGACGGGGTATAAGCAGAATATTAATGCCGTCAGAGTGGGAGGAGTGAATAGGGTTCACGAGGATACAGTTGTTGCAGCTTTTTCTACAAAATTACAAGATGCTCTTCAGTTGAGATGATGAGACTCGACGAGGTACTTCACCACGCGTATCAATGAAGTTATGATCTAGCAATTGTGGAATGTGATGCACTTTGCACGGTCCAAAATCTTTCTTACTTTACTTTTATACAAAATGCGGACATTTTGCATGATGTCTCATTATTGCCACAATTAATTAAAGATGACCTTTCGCTAGATTCTCCGTGGCGTGAGGGCAATAAAGTGCCCACAATTCTGTCCGTTGTTCGTTTTATTGGACAACTTATATTTTGAGATTTATTGTGCATGCATTGCGTCGCAACATTGATTAATGAAATCATTTGTTGTTTCCAGAAAAGGACAAAAAGTTTTTTAAAATGAAGCTCAACTTTGCTCGTTAAGTTATTAAGTGGAGTCTCTTTAATTTTAATTAAACTGCAACAATTAAGTAGAACCCTATTAGGCATAATGGGCGAGAGCGCCTCTCACTCTCAGCCACCTAATAATAGTGCAAACCCCAAGCAATTATTAAACAAAAATAAGTTTAAATAGTTTCAAAACAACGTCTCAAATACCACGTGGCGGATGCCAACCCAGGTTACCGTTGTAACCCGACCGTAAAGTAAATGATCCAACGGCCAGGTTCTACTAGCCGTTTGATTTGAAAGCAAAAAAATGGAAAATACATTCCACGTTTTCACTGGACAAACACCCTTAAATTTCTCTTGAATTCTATTCATTCCTCATCTACATTCTCTTCTTCTTGCTGTGTTTCTTTTCTCTCTAAATGCTTACATTCAGCATTCTGGGGTCGTATAAATTGTCGGTCTGGTGAAGGAGAGTGTAATTTCATCTATTTAATCAGGGTTTTGTGATTGAGCTTTTCAGATTTCACGAGAATCATAATGGTTATATCTGATGAGAACGATTCTACCCAGATTAAACCCACAAATGCACAAGGTTCTCTTTAGCAAGATCTTGCTTATTTTTACCAATTTTATGCCTTTTGAGTTTTTCAAACTCAATGTTCTTATATTTTTCATTTTTTTTTTGGATTTGAATAATAAAGGAGGGGCAGTAATCACTGGCAGAAAGTTTGGAATGGAGGTGAGACCCAATAGAAGGGCTTTGAGTTCGATCAATCAGAATTTAGTGGGAGCTCATCCTCGTCCATATCCCTGTGTTGTTAACAAGAGAGGCTTATCAGAGTAAATCTCGACTCTTTAATTTAACATCCTTCATGTCTTTTTTTTTTTATTTCTTCCGAATGCTTTTGAAGAGGAAAATAATTGAGTCATATTTTTCTGGTTACTCAGAACAAATAGGATTTGTGATAAGAATCTTCCCATTCAAGCACATAGGCCAATCACAAGGTCTGATCTGTGAAATAATTTACTTTTATCGATAAAAGTTCCTTCTTTCAAGTTTCGATTTTTGTCATAGACCCCAACTTTCTGTTTTTGCTAACAAGAATTATTTGATTTATAAAGGAAATATGCTGCACAAATGTCAGTCTTGCAGCAACCCTGCCCAGAGGTATTTGTTCTATTTCTCAAGGACATTTGAAAATTTTTGTACAGAAAATTTTCCCATGAATGGATATAGGGTTAATACTTTTTTTTTTTTTTGATCTGTAATTGAATTATAACAGGAAGTAAAGAAGCCAAAAACATCAGTGAATGAGTTTACTGTATTGGAGGATACTCCTCTTGCAGATGTAAAGCATAATGGGGCAGTTAAAGACCAACCTGTGCCCATGTCTTTGGAACAAAAAGAAATAGAAATCAGTGAAAACAATCAAATTGTATGAATCTCTTTCTGTGCTGTTCTATTTGACTCTTGATTTTGTTGGAATAAATTGATCGGAGAACTTAATTAATTAACGACTTGTAGGAGGAGGTTGAAATGGCAGACATATTCGAAGAGACGATTTTGGATATAGATAGCGATGATGCAAAGAATCCACTTGCAGTTGTCGACTATGTCGAAGATCTATATGCTTACTATAAGAAAATGGAGGTTAGAATAAGTGATAATTATTTATAGCATATCTTTGAAGAAGATTGGCTTTACTAGAACCAAAAAATGTCTCTAGGATTGTCTTTCTATGTTGTGTAATTTTTTATAAAATTATTCACTAATTAATTGGCTTAGGTAGGAATTAGGAAGTCAATATGGTTAAATAACATTAACAAAATGTACTTATAATTGTCAAAACTATGTTAAAGATTGGTTTGTCATTATCGTTAGATTTGAGAAATTGTGTTGAATCTTAAATGTGGTTGAAGATTTAAGTAGAAAATTCCAAAAATGAAAGCCCTAGAACAATCTTGCTCATAAAATAGGACACTTTAATGTGTACAATCAGAGTTTAGTAAACGTCTATTTTTAAGAATTAAAGTTTGGAATAGTGTAAGTACAACCTCAGTTTAAATTTTGAAATCTTAAATAAGATGTTTGATTTTCATTTTATAGACTCTTCAAGAATATTGAACTTAATTAACCTTATTCGTACCATCATTTATTCGGTGACAATTCAAATGTGATACTTTACTACTGCTGGTAAAATGGAAGTAACATGAACAAAGTAGAAAATCATGTCCATTAAGGCATTCATTAATGTAAGATGTCAAAAGGGAAGGCATTATTACAAAAATGAGCTTAAGCAATTGACCTAAATCCATCATTTATTGAGAACCATTCAAATGGAATGATTTACAAGGAATGCACATTAGATAGATACATACGTATATAATGATCATATAAATATTGTCAATCGTCATGTATAGCAGTATCATGAGCTAAGTAGAAAATAATATCATCAGATGCATTCATAAAAAATTACCACCAAATGCTTCTGTGTGATGACTAAAACATGTATTTGATGCAGAGTTGTAGCTGTGTTTCACCAGGATATATGGCACATCAATTTGACATCAATGAGAGGATGAGGGCCATTCTTGTCGATTGGCTCATTGAGGTATACAGAATGTTTATTTTTATAAATATAGATCTTCTGATAGTGAACACAATGAGTACAAACTTGAAATATCTATATTGATGATTAATTTTTGTCTTCTTCGACGATAATGAGCAGGTACACCACAAATTTGAACTTAGGGAAGAAACGTTGTTTCTAACCGTAAATCTGATAGATCGATTTTTAGCAAACCAAACTGTGGTGAGAAAGAAGCTGCAGCTAGTTGGTCTTGTTGCCATGCTATTAGCATGCAAATACGAGGAAGTTTCTGTTCCAGTCGTAGATGATCTGGTTTTAATTTCGGACAAAGCTTACACAAGAAAAGAAGTCCTTGAAATGGTAGCCTACGCTCGTGTTGATCTCTTTCATATCAACCAAAGTGGTTTGTTTGTTCAATAGTTGCATTTTGAAGCTAACACCACTCTTTTGTGCAGGAGAAGTTGATGCTTAACACTTTGCAGTTTAATATGTCTGTTCCAACTGCATATGCTTATATTAGAAGATTTCTCAAGGCTGCTCAGTCTGATAGAAAGGTTGGTAGTTGAAGTTGAAGTTATATGTCTTCGTGACTGCATATTTTCTTGGATAAAATACTTACAGAATCTGTTTTTGTGTAACGACAACAGCTGGAGCAACTCTCATTCTTCTTGATTGAGCTATGCCTAGTGGAGTATGAAATGCTGAAATATCCACCTTCCTTTTTGGCTGCTGCTGCTATATATACAGCTCAGTGTACACTTTTTGGTGGTGGGAGTTGGAGTAAGACCTGCGAGCGGCATACCACCTATTCAGCAGATCAGCTACTGGAATGCTCCAGACGGATTGTGGGCTTTCACCAAAACTCAGCAACAGGCAAACTTACTGGGGTTCATAGAAAGTACAACATATCAAAGTTTGGATATGCAGCAAAATCTGAACCCGCACATTTTCTTGTACAAACCCCACCACAATAGACAGAGCCATGTACAGTTACTAACTCTAAGTGACTAATTCATTCTGTTGATTCTTGGTTTGGGAGAGGGTGGGATTAGAAAAATAACTAGTAGCAACTTATGTTGCCCCGGGGAATTTGATTGTTATTTTAGCAAAAACAGCAGCGGCTGTTAACTATTTTTAAGACTGAACACAATTTAACTGTACTTTCAGAGTTATTCTATGAATAATAAAGTTTCAAATGATACCGTTCTTCTGTTTAAACAGTTTCAAATTAAGGTTTTCATTAATATGTGATGTTAGATAGTCAGTATTGAAGATAAAGTTGTTTGGCTGGACTCATCTAGAGTTGCTAGTTAGCGAATAACATTTTTGCTTATGTTTGGCTGGACTAGTTAGAGAATAATAACATTTTGTCTGGACTAGTTTTTTCGTTTTAGCATTAAATGGATGTGAATTAACATATTTATTGTTGTTTAAATATGGACATTAAAAGCTACTGACATTGTGGGGTCGAGATTTATAGTAGCACAGGGGGGAGTGTTGGCCCAAGTAAGCAGCAGTTAACGGGAATGTGGCGTATGGTCTGGAAACTGAATGTTCCTCCAAAGGTGCGCATATTTTTTGGCAGGTTTTACATGAAGCTATCCCCACTAAAATGAATCTGATTCACAAGCATTCATGCATTATTCTCGTGTCCATATATGCTAAATCTATCTGGAAGGTTGAGTGGTCCTGGGTAATAGTAAAACCATGTTTGGAGTAAGGACTGGAGGACACTCTTATCCAAATTTTTCAGAGTGCCTTGAGTGGAGTTGGAATCAACTGACTGTATCCTGTGGTGTATTTGGAGAGACAAGAATCCATTGGACTTGGAGCATGGTGATTCTACACAAACAGTTGAGGGAGGGAGTTATTCAGGCTGCTTCGGCTTTATTGGAGCCAGGGGGAGAGGGCAGGTGACTTCTGGAATGTAGCTGACGGGAGGGTTGAAAGGATACAGCTGTGTCAATTTGTCGGAAGAATGGTTTTATTGTCATTGGTGCAGTCATTTGGAACCAATGGGGAGTGGTGGTGTAGTGGATTGGACGAAGTGTTTGTTGGGATCTTTATTGCCAATGGTTGCCGAGAGTCTTTGACTCATGGAGGGACTTATAATGCACTTGAGTTTGAGTTCGATATTGAGGCGGCTGAGTGTAATGCCCTTCAAGTTGTTCAGGCCTAATGTGTTTTTGTTCATTGAGGGAGAGACGGAATGGCTAAATCTTTGCATTTAGCTAAGCTATATGATGTGCAAGGTACATAAATCCAGTCTGAAGTGATTTAGGGACCAACTTTAACTTTAACTTTAACTCTAATTATAAATTTAGAATGCATTTAAACTGAAATACTATTGTCCATCTCGATTTCACGTTGGTCACAATAGAACTTTATCGCCTCCTACCCCATGTGTATTTGAGCATGTGCTCCTCTGTCGAGCACGTGGTTGGATGCATGATTGAAAACCTCAACCAACAACCAGACTAAGGCCTCGGTTTGGCCTGGACATGGACATGAACCTTGATAATACTAATTTTGACATAATCAACTTAAACTCAAGTGCACTAAACCCATGCATACACACAATGGATTACTTAACAAATATCACAAATCACAAATATCAACAAGTTTTGAAAACGAGATTTAATCATGACTTTCAATATAATAATAAAAGAAATGGCAACTCACAAAAATGACTAAAATGTCTCTGAAATCGTCTATGAATAAGATCATTACACAGGTAAAAAAGGGTTGAAAATCTTATAAACAAACTTCCTCTAAAAAAAATGCCTCAAATTAAAAGAACATATGGGGTTGGCCCTTTCAAAAATTGAAATAATATCTCCAATCACTAATCATTTTCTGATCGAAAGATGATGAAATCTGCACCTCTCTATTCAAACAATTGGCTTCCAAAATACACCCAAAACCCCTACGGTTAACTTTTAAAAAATTATTACGTATTATTTGAGACCAATATTTTAACTTCTTATAAATAACATTATTCAATAAATCTTAAATTCGCGTCTTAAAGGCAAAAAAAGTGCAGGGCAGCAAAACATCTTCTTCAATTCCGCCCCGAAACTCCGTAGACCACCTACGCTGCTGTCGCCTGAGCTGGAAGGCAAGATTAGCTTCTATTGCCTCAATCCTCGATGCTTCCAGTATGCTTGCGGTTGAAATTCTGATGGCAATTGCGGGATTCTGCCAGTGGGCGAAAGTGGGGCAGTGCAGAGAGCAGAGCAGGAGGCCAGCGGAAGCACCACCAGCTGCGAGCTTGGATTTCTAACCGGTGCCACAGTTAAAATTTGATTCCAGGGAATAACAAAATGTTCTTCAAAAGCTTACAATCCACCACTACAAGACACGTATCACTATACCTTTACTCTCCAATTTCTGCGTTTCCATTTTCAACCCTAGAAATTCCGTCAAATTGCATTTCCAACCAACCATCAGAAACCCATGTAAAAAAGCCCAATAACATCGATGAATCCTGTATACTGAACCAGCTCTCAGATATTTTACCAATAAACCGAGATCCATTGATTTCCCAGCCAATCACCGGAAGTTTACCGGACGAACATTTAGAAATTAGGGCCGTGGATGAATTTTTAGCTCCCGAAGAGAAATTACGTGGAATTTTTCTGCAGAAACTTCGAGGTAAGACTGCAATTAGAAACGCATTAAACAGTGCTGGCGTGGAAGTAAACATGGACGTTTTTTCTAAAGTATTGAATAGAGGAAATTTGTCTGGTGAGGCGATGGTCATGTTCTTTCGTTGGGCTATTGAGCAACCTAATATAGCTGATGATATCTGTACTTACCATATAATTCTTAAAGCATTAGGCAGAAGAAAATTTTTTATGTACATGATGGCAATGTTAAATGAAATGAGAGCTAAAGAAGTGAACCTTATTCCTGAAACCCTTTTCATTGTTCTGGATAGTTATGTTCGTTCTCGACGAGTTTCTAAAGCTATTAAGATTTTCGGGGAACTGGAGGAATACGGATTAAAAGTTAATGTGGAGACGTTGAATGTTCTTTTGCAGTGTTTATGTCAACGATCATTTGTGGGCACTGCAAGTTCACTATTTAACAGAATGAAAGAGAAAGTACAACCTGATAGCAAGACTTACAATATCATCATAGGTGGGTGGTCGAAGTTTGGCAGAGTTAGTGAAGTTGAGAAATTCTTGAAAGTTATGGTGAACGATGGAGTTGAGCATGATTGTTTAACTTATAGTTATATTCTTGAGTGTTTGGGGAGAGCTGGTCGTGTTGATAATGCTGTTAAGATCTTTGCGTACTTTGAGGAGAAACAAACTATGCTAAGTACTGGGGTTTATAATGCAATGGTTTTTAATTTTATTGCTGTTGGAGATATTGATGAAGGCTTGAAATATTACAAGCGGATGTTGAGTAATAATTATCAGCCAAATATGGATACTTATGCTAGAATAATATCTGCATTTCTTAAAGTTAAAAGAGTTTCAGATGCTATTGAACTGTTTGATGAAATGCTAGCTCGAGGGATCATTCCTACAGCAGGTACTCTCACCACATTCATTGAACCTTTGTGTGGCTATGGTCCGCCTCATGCTGCCGTGATGATATATAAGAAGGCGAGAAAAGTTGGATGCAGAATATCACTGAGTGCCTATAAACTGTTGCTTATGCGGTTATCTAGGTTTGGGAAGTGTGGGATGCTGCTGAATATATGGGAGGAGATGCAAGAAAGTGGCTATTCTTGTGATATGCAGGCTTATGAGTATGTTATCAATGGCCTCTGTAACACTGGGCAGCTTGAAACTGCTGTCTTAGTCATGGAGGAATCTTTGCATAAGGGATTTTTCCCTAGCAAGCTTATTTGTAGCAAACTGAACAATAAACTGCTGGCTTCATATAAAGTAGAAATAGCATATAAGCTTTTCCTGAAGTTAAAGAATGCTCGTGTCAATGAAAATGCACAAAGATATTGGCGAGCTAAAGGGTGGCATTTTTAATCTTTCACATCTGCAGGTTGGTGACATCAGTTGTTTCAGGTAATATTTTTCTGGATTCTTATTGAATAAGAAGGATGATCCTTCTTTGAGTTCTATGATCCATATGGAAGCTTAGATATAACAATTGAACCACTACTGACTATCAGGTGAAGGCACTAGTCTCTCAAGCTTGCTGCTTTACCATGAGCACGAGTAGGAGATCTTAGGTTCATGACTATCTGCCCCTCTTCTGCGTATTTACATATATCCTGATGGTCAGGTATAACTCAGTCATATTATTCATTACGGCAATGAGGTTCATTGCCAAAAATTGTTTCATTATCAACATTGAAATGTGCTGCTCTTGCAACTGCATGACTTCTTTTGCCCCTGTTTGGTGCCCATTGTTTTACAACTCTTTTTGCTACGGGATCATTTTCAACCACACATTCATACAATAAAGTATTATGTATGTAAATCCAGAACTTTTCCTTTTCCTTACATTTTAACCACTCATTCTGCGAAATATACTATTCAAAACTCTTTTTTTTTCTTTTTTTAAATAATGGGCACCAAACAAGGGCTTTATTAACTATAGCTACCTGGTAGCATAGGAAAAGAATACACCTGTTTTTTGCGATGACTAGGTTTAAAATTGCTGTTGCAAGACATGGATTTAATTATATACCCTGATGGCCTTTCACTGCAGTTACCTAGATATCGTCCAAAGGGTCAAGGCATGTATTTTCCGTGCATCATTTATTGTGCCTTTGTTATTTTCTAATGCTTTATTGTCTCTTTATGTAATTAAATTTCCAAGTTAATGTAGTGGTCTACACAATATATTTGGCCCGACTGAATGCTGTTCTGTGCTTTGCTGCTGCACCTATTGTTAGAAAATTAAATTCCTTGACTATATCCTTGTGTTTTAGATACGTGCCAGGAAGTGCTTAATGGAGCATCATGTATCTTCAAGTGGATATCAATTTCACCACTGGAGATTCTTTCCTGGTATTCCTCAGTTAATATGCTGGGATCATCTCATTGGGCAGCACCAGTTATGCTTCTATAAGAATTTAAAGATCTGGAAATTACTTGAACAGTTGACCCTTTCTGTTTGAAACTAGATTTGAAGACTTTGTCACTGGATTTTTACAAGGACTTGATTATTAGGCTGTTATTTTGTTTCTTAAATTCTACCAGTAAGTAAATGATTGATATGATAAGGTGAAGAATACTGACAAATAATCTCAATGTGAGGTAAGCGAATTCCTTGCAAATTAAAGAAATCTAGAGGACATCAATAGTTCATTATCATTGCACGATTTACTTTTTCACTTACTGTACAGATAATTACTTTTTGATATTAAATTCTATACTTTGGCTTAATAGACTCTAATTCATGGCTTAAATGAATCCATAACTCAAAATTTGTGAGTTTCTTAAATCTCAGCTTGCCTTTGTGATGTTATTGAGCAAGTCTGTTCATTTTGTAATCACCACCTACACATCTAATATGAGATAAGAGGTGGTATGGATCAGTGAAAAGTGTGAATCGATGATTCTATCAAATCAGCACATGCATTTTAACTTCAGATAATTATTGCAGAGGATACAATGCTGTGAGGAATGTGTACCTTGTCACTCCTCTTTATGTCCAATCTCATCGGGAGGGAAGGAATACCATATTGTGCAAAGCTGACATCCAAAACTATTAACATGCTCAAATGGACATAGTAAACATCAAAGTAAAAAGCAATTTGCGGCTACTAAAGGTTTGGTGCTTTGAAGTTCAGGTATGAACAATAGGGATCTCAAATGTACGAAATAAAATATAGGTTATGGGGGCAAACACATCGAGCTTTTTTGGATTTCACTCCAAACGTTTTGCTTGAAGTAGTTTATGTGTCAAGTAAATAATAATGGCAGGAATGGAACAACGAATTGAATAGATGTGGATGGATCAAACTGGGGGCTAGGAATCAACTACCGAGAACGAAGATTCGACTGAAAGCAGCCGGAAGGGAATAACGAATTGAAGAGATGTGGATGGAACAGCCTACGTTGCCTCATCCTTTCTTGTATTTTTATGGAATGAGGTTGATCGGTCATTTAAGTTTAACTTACATCTCCTTGTCTTTACTCGCTAATCAATTGTGCCCTATAGTAAATAACATTTATTAAGTAGGCAGAATAATACAGCTTATGAATATAAAAAGGAGTTGTTATTTACATCCATCATGGTTATTTATATCCACTTAAAAAATAAATAAATTATATTATATATTTAATCTTAAGTAAATTTGCTTAAATAGACATATATTAAATTAAATAAAAATATATTTCTAAATTCATCAACTATATTTATTTTCATTAATTCTTTCGGACATTTGTATTCAATTGAGACTTTTATAATTTTTTTTGAGCAACTTTTGGTGGAATTTGTCGTAAGTGACTTTTATAGACTTCAATAGACTTTAACTAAAGTCTTTTAAAGTTTTTCATTTTGAAAGAAAAATATTAGATCTATATAAATAATATTTTGAACAACTGGCATAACTCGAGTGTGCTCATAGTTGTCACTAGTGATTAACCCGACAATACAAAATCAACTTTCAATCACCCAAGTTTAGATGCTTGGTCCCTTTTGTCCATCTCAATCCAAATTTCAAAATTGAGTATATTTTTATTATAAATTTTCAATAATGGTGTGTTATTACTATGAATATTCATTTTCTATTGTATTTATGACTTGACTATCAAAGTGTACCTTCTCCAGAATTTAGCTAAGCACGCTAATGTAATCTTGTTTTGTAAGTTGACTGATATTAATCCCAGATATCATGCCCCAGATATTAATAGGATTATGACGACCATGGTTGAATCCATGTCCTTATATTTAGGCTAAAAGGTGGTATTTGATAGAAGGCACAAAATCTCTATCACAAAAATGCAACTTAATGTACCCGAGCAGCTTTTGACATGTTAAACCTGCACGAGGAAGTGAAGTCATAGGAGCTGCTCTAGAAGTTTTATATACTCCATTGAAGTCAATTAGTGTAATAATGTTATATATAATCCATTTTTAAAAAAAATTAAATTAAATCAACTCAATTAAAATAACAAATAACATAAATACCGAAAAGAATTAATAAATTTTGATAATGTTCATCAAAAAAATATCAAACATTCCCAAAATCGTTCCACATATTAGCTACTATAGGAGCCCTCCATGCATTAGCATTCTTTTTTTTTTTTTTTGTTCTTGGCTCTCAAATAATGTTCCAACATCTTCCCATTTATTAACTGACGAAGATGATAAAGCTTCATTATCAGGTTCAGCTGATAATTCATCTAAACGACCCTTCTTTGAGGAGAAAATTGTGTAAACCTACACAAGCTAGCACTAGCTCTGCTTGTGTACGATATAGAAATGGAGAAGTTGTTGTGAAAATTGTGAATCGTAATTTGAATAGAAATTTTTTTCTTGGTTCAAGCCTTGTCTTCATACTTGACACGTGCCTACTGTTTCGAGTGATCTTATCAAGGAAGATTTGAAGAATTGTATTGAGAAGTATTCTATATGGAACTTGTGATGCGTCTATTTGTGTAAGAGGTCCAGGCCTACATTCATCAAGGAAGCATGATGCAAATTAAATAATTCATTGCATTTTTTGGATCACGACTCTGACCAACAAAATCTTAAAGATAATAATGGACACCTCAATAAGGAGCTAAATATTGACATCGATTTGAAAATCCACAATCAACCAAAAAACATTTATCTGAACATAAAATACTAATAGAATTAGCAAATAACTCATAACATGTATAATCATGATTAAAAAACATAAAGAGATAAAAGAAAAATTAAATTATAAAGACATACATTGTTATGCTTCAAGTCAATTTCTTATTGTTAAAGCATCACTCAATACCTTAGAATCATGTGATGATCCCTCCCACCCACTGAGTACCTTTATAAATTTCAAATCAAAGTTATAATCAGCTAAAACATTCTGTGAAATTGTCTATAAGGGTGCATTTAATTGCGAACATGAAATTTGAATAGAAAGAAAATTAATTCTAAACAATTCTTCTTTGTATGGAAATTATTAATTAAATGTGTTTGATTGATTTAGTTTTCAACTTAGAAAATATTGTACTTATTCAATTTCTATTGGTGGGTAGATTAGAGAGATATGATATATGAGAAACAAAGAAAGAGTAAATTACTTGAAAAATAAAAATTAGCTTTTCCGAAAGAAATTGTTTTCCTTATTTTTTGAGAAAAATATGGTCACATGACCAAAAGTTGGAAAATATTTTCCATGAAAAAAATTGTCAATTAAATACTTCAAAAATAGAAATTTGAGTAGAAAATAACAATTTTCATGAAAAATAAAGTCAATCAAATACACACTAACTACCTGTATCACATCCGGTCACCATTGCTCAAATAAGGATACTGTCATAGCTCTAATACGATTCTAGAACAATAAAACAATACAAATAAATAATGAGAACTTTAACAACAACAACATCAACAACAATAATAATAATAATCATCATCATCACTTACTTTGAAGTAAGGATAAAATCTTGTGCTTTCTTATATTTTTTTGGCATTGTGGGTCTCGGTTTGACCATCATATCTACTGCAAGTTTGTTTAATATCTGCAAAATCTTGTTGAAATTTCAACTAGTAGTGAAATGCGATCGACGAAACATTTTATGAATTAAGCAATATCGAGTATTTCGATAAAGGAGTAGGAATCTTGGAAGCATTTCTTTAGTACAAACATATCTTGCATCTCGTAAGGGTATTTTTCTCTAATGATGTTGCTTAAGTTTTGAAACACATTGGGATACATTCTATATATTTGTCTAAAATCTAATGAATCCTCCTTTAATATTTTACGTATATAATTATATTCATATCTAGTTTTTGGTCTTCTAGTTAGTGAATGTTTGACACTTTCACGACACATATTAGCTAATGATGTTTGAATTGCTAACCATGAATACCTAATGATTTCATATAATGCTTGTTTATTCCCATCTTCTTTAGTCTCGACCATGTTTATGTTATGATCATCATGCAGGTTGACATTAGACATTATATAATGGAAGTACCTAAAAAAATGAAAACATAGTGACATAAACGAGGAAAATGATAATGTTATGAAAAAATGAATTAAGTATTACTAATTCGAT